AGACCAAGCTGACCTCAACTCAGAGATCCGTCTGCCTCTGCCTCCTGAGTGCTGACTAGGATTAATGGCGTGTGCCAAACACTGCCCAGCCTTAAGCTCCATTCTTTAAAGGAAGCTGACAGACAGCACCCAGCCAAAGGACCACTGGTTCCAGGTCACCTGCAATTGGGAACAGAGGTTAAAAAAAGTGGGGGGACTTTTAGCTATAGACAGTCGGGAGAAACCATTATGTCAGGCAGCCAGTGCCCTGGGAAAGATGACTGGGTGGATCAAATGTCTTCACCTTGTGCAGGCCTCACCCATAGAGACCAAGTACCTTGAGTTGCCTGGCATCCACCCCAACAAGGCACTCTGAAGTATGCCCTAATTTGGGTTCCCATAACCATTTCTGTCAAAGAGATGCTGTCAGGGCAGTGTTCTGGCAAAGTGTGTGAGGCAGGGGACAGAAAAAGCAAAGAAAACAAACAATATAATCTGAGAAAAGTCCCAAGGCGATGAACCCTGCAAAGGAGTTCTGCAATGGCGCAGGGCACATCTCAAGGCTATTCCAAGTCCCAAGGTACTGGGGGTGGGGGACAGCATGGACACCTTCCCACTAGTCACAGACTGTCATCCTGTGTGGAGGATTCAAACTTTCGGGTTTCCAGGAAAAGACAGTGACAGGTGTTGTCAAAAGGGCACAGAAGTAGGTGACTGAGAGTACCAAGACACTGATAGGGAAGAGAGCACAAGGGACCTAAGGCTGACATGGACAGCATCTGTTGTCAAGGATCTCCAAGACCTCTTTAAGGTCTGAAATATCATCTTGTTTTAGGATGAAGGGCAACACAGATGGCAAGAGTAAGGACCGAATTGTCTTCCGGTGGTGAGGCGGCGTGCAGTGAACCAGAATTTAGGGAAACCTGTTTACTTGAGTTATAGGCAAATGAAAGCCAAGAGACACCTCCCTAAATCACATGTATTCTGTTTCTCCAGGGAGTAGCATTCCTCTCAGAACTCTTAGTAAAGGCTCCTCGTTCGAGGCTGACACTCAGGAGGTGTGTCAGCCAACAGTGCAAACTGTGGCAGCCCCCAGAAAGGCACTGCCAGGGCTGAGGTGTTGTCCAGTAGTAGAGTTCCAGCCTAGCCTAGACATGGCCCTTAATCCCACCCCCCCCAGCACTGCAGAAAATTGAAACATAAGCACACATTGAGTTTTGCATTAGACTGCAGAGATACAACCTGTCATTTAAAAGCTAAGCAAGGGAAAGGATTATCTGGGAGTACTGTCTCAACATCAGTGACCTTCCAGTCAGTCTGCTAACTATAATCAAAGTAGCAAACATAAGATGTCTTTATTTAAAACACTAAAAAGCAGTGTTTACATTTTGTATCCAGAATAATCCTCTATAGATTGCATGACTCAGTCTGAGAGAACAGGCTATGCATAGTTTAAGACCAGGCTGTCTTCTGCAAACATCATATCCCTATGCTCCTACATGCTTGGGCTTCCTTCTGGGGCCTGTGCAGATCAAGCCCACGTTGTGTTTTCTAGGGGCTGGAAAACCAAGCACTAACTTATGTCATATAGTGAGCTCTTGTGACAACAGAGCCAATTGTCTGCCCCACCTTTCTCTAAGAGTCAATGAAGATGACTCACCTTGATGTCACTCTGAAAGTGTCTGACACTACCTGATTTTCCTTTACCAGCCTCACTTCAAAGAAAGCAGTTACTCAAAGATAAGGGGATGGGTATTCTAAAAACAGAGTCTGTGTTAATGAATAGTGCTCTTCACCAGTGAGAAAAGTCACGCACAAACACAAACACACACACTACATAGCTTATGAGCCTAAAGCTGAAGAGAGAAAAGGGGTGGAGAGAGAAATCCTTGAAATATACGAATAAACCAAACTATTGCCCATAACTATTTAATGCCCATAGGTTATGTACACCTTATATAATGTTTTATACTCCAATAACACCTCTCAACTAAAGCAATAAATACAATCAATAAAATTTCCATCCCAAACATTTAAAAATACTGTTGGAGCCGGGCGGTGGTGGCGCACGCCTTTAATCCCAGCACTCGGGAGGCAGAGGCAGGCGGATCTCTGTGAGTTCGAGACCAGCCTGGTCTACAAGAGCTAGTTCCAGGACAGGCTCCAAAACCACAGAGAAACCCTGTCTCGAAAAACCAAAAAAAATAAAAAAATAAAAAAATGAATAAAAATACTGTTGGAATACAGAATAATTATTCCCATCATGTATAATATATTAAGGTGTGTAACTCAACCCAGTGTTTGATCCACAAGGAAAGCCCACTAGTAGGTTAAAAATAGAAGGGAACATTGGCTATTTCAATAATACAACAAAATTAACAAATCATCTGCCCAAGAAACAAAGTGTTTCTGTACAATTCATGGTTCACACTCAGAATCCTGCCTGACAAGCAGGGTTACAACAGTGAGAAGTCCGGCGGTTTCTCATACTGAAAGAGCAATGGCAACCCAACTGAGAAACCTGGAAGCTATCCAGTCATAGTGGCAGATACTCAGGAGGCAGAGGGAGGCGAGTCTCTGTGAGTTCAAGGCCAGGCTGGACTACACAACAGTCAGAGCTAAATACCCTGTCAACAAAATGAAACACCCTGGAGGCTTAGTGCTCAGTCACAGAAAATCTTCTTGGTTTCAGTTTCAATAACTTAAGGAAAACTGGGAACCAGAAATCCACTAACAGCAGAACTCTGTTTGTTCATTTTTGCTCTAATTATTCCAAACACTCCCACCAACAAAGATACTTGACTTTTTAACTAGTTCCTCCAGGACCTGGGGTTCTGGCCATAGACAGATAACGCAAGAAAACACTGAACTTGAAACACTCCAGGTTCAGACTCCCAGTAATTTACCACCCCTGCTAGCATGGACTATATTCACATCTAACTAAAAATCAAATTGTTTCTAATGGTCTACTTGAAAAGAAATTCGGTATAAATGTTTTTGTTTCTCGAAACTAGATCTCCAAAGTTTCCGAGCATTCAGCAAGTCATTAGCTTCATAAGGCAGCAATTAAATGCTGTCTGCTCAGGGACTTCAGGACTTGGTGCGGTTTCCCGTCTCTCTCGTACTCGCTGTTGCTCCGCACACGGTCACGGAACACGGCTTCAGCTCTGAACACTCCATGCAGCGCGGGTTGTTTTTCTCTGCCTCACTGCTTTCTGGCCTCCAGACCAGGTTCTGTTGAGCCTCTGAGCGCCAGAGCTGCAAGCTGAAAGGCTCCTCCCCTAACTCCCACGGGTAAAAAGGGTGGCGTGCATTTCCCAAGCTGGAATTGCTAGAGTTCCAGCCCTGCCTAGCACCTTCTCTACCCTTCTCAAAGACACTCGTATCTGTCAGTGCTCTGGAGCTCCTGGTGACCCCAAAGGCTATCCAAAGCAATCCAGGACTGGCCCCCAAACAGGTTTCACCCTCCTTCATAACCAGTGGACGAACTTTAGCCCTTGTTGACCCAGACTAGGTACAGAGAAAAGAAGAGATTTCAATTTTTTTTCAAACTAAGATGGTCGGTGAGCCCACGGAGCTGAAGGGCTCCCCCATGCGCTGGACACTAGCTAGCAATCGCCAGGTGAGGATGCGGAAGTTCCTTTTCCTACCCCGCCCAGACCTGTCCACAAGGCCGGTGTAACAGGAATTACAAACTCACCTACAGGACTGGTCTACACACAGCGCGCTTGCACACACCTACCCCTCCGCACAGAGGTGTGCAGGCAGGCAAGTGTCAAACAAGTCCCAGCCACCAGAAAAGGCTAACAAGAAAATCAGACGTCGGGATATACGGAACATGTTTTAAGGAAGCGGGGGATGGGTGACTAAAGGCCCTGACTTGCTCCCCTCGCCCCGGGACCAGGCAGAAACCAGAAGGGCTAGGGCTGTGGAGCCAACGCCTGGGAAGCTGCTGGTCACTTTAACTACATCACCTGCCATGCGGTATCAGGAGCAGCAGCTCCTGCCGCACTTGTTCCTAATCCTGAACCGCCCCCGAACCGGGAGTGGAGCGCATACCACCCTACCTCAAAGATAACTCCACCCCTGGTCAATAATTACTCCAATCCTCCCCCAAATACCTGATAACCCCAAAAGAGCTACCTCAAAATGCCCATTGTGGGCAAATTAACTATTGGCTTCCTGGGCTGAAGGGATGGCGCCTCAGTTAAGAGCATTTGCAGCTCTTGCAGAGGACCCTGGTTCAGTTCCCAGCACCCACTCCAGTTCCAGGGGCTCTGATGCCCTCTTCTGGACTTCTCAGTGCACATGCTGACATGCCGGCATATATATTATACATACATATAGACATACCCATAATATATATATATTATATAAATAATCAAACTAAAACAATTATATATATATATTTTTTAAAGAATGTATTTCCCTGGGATCACCAGAAACCCCTCCAGCAACTCTCTAGCCCCACCCCACCCTTACCCCTACCCCACTCAGCGCCCCTCCCACCCAGCTGACTCCTCATCCCTCTCCACTCCCAAGTTCAGGATCCCTCCGGTCGCCACACACGCACCAGAGAAGACAGGTCAACTGAGGGGCACTTGGCACTGCAGGGGACCTAGAACAGAGTCCATAAAGAGGACATGGGGGCTGCATGCCAGGTGCCCCATTGAAGCTAGTGTCTTACCCCGGCTCCCAAAGGGTTAAGACGCCCCTGTGGTTTTAGGCTCTCAACAGGAGACCAAGACCGGGAGAGGACGAGAAGGGAAGGGCAAAGTGGACGTAGGCGACAGGCCGCCTGAGTGGGACTGAGCTGTGCTGCTGTCGGGGGACTCTGCGGAGCCGCCAGTAGGTGCAGCGCACTCCCGGAACACCCAAACTTTCTCCACCACCCAAGTTGGGGGTGCCAGGGACAGAGGCCACAGAGACGCTGGCAGGGGCGTCCGAGAACCGTGGGGAAGGTGTCCCCGAGCGTGCCGTGCCGCACCTGTGTCCCGGGGCCGCGCCGGGCCCGTACTCACCCGGGTGTAGAGCTCGCTGTACGACATGTCCCCGCGGATGGAGCCGGAGCCCCGGACACCTCCCGGGACGCCGGGTCGGGGCTGCGCTCTGAGGCCAGGCTCCTAGCTCGCCCGCGCGCTCTCCGTGCACCGCCGGTGCAATCTCCCCGGACCGGTCCCAGTTCCTCCGCGCTCGTTCCTCGGGTGGACCGACCTGCTGGCGCCGACGCCCGCTCGCTCCGGCCCGCGCGACCTTTACTCCCTGGGCGGTGGCAGCTCTGATGCTGCGTCCGAGAGTGGCGGGAGGGCGGGGAGAAGGCGCGCCGCGCTCCGGGCTCAGGTACTGAGAGGAGGCGAGGACGCGCGACCAGGGAGGGAGGGAAGTGGGGGGGGGGGGGGACCCGCGCCTCACCACGGCCGGCCGCCGCCGCCTTTGAGCCCTTAGCACCCCCGCTGCCACCGGGTCCTGGGGCGGGGGGCGGGGCCGGCGAGGAGCGGCGCCCCGGGAGGTGGCACGCGCCGCCCCCTGCTGGCCGCCGTGCAAACGCCGCACAGGTGCGGGCGGGCTGTCGCACCTGCCGCCCCGCGATGTCCTAACCACCTGGGCAGAGGATGGGCAAAAGTGCGACCGAGACGTGAAGAGAGGGAAGAAAGGTGCGGCTGAAAAGGGCCTTATACTTTTTCTCTCGATTTTATGTTTGTGTTGAACGTTTTCATTATTAAACTCTAATTATGGCATAGTTCTCTACTAAGGTGATTTTGATGCGCACTAAAGATCATCCTCACCAAAATGAACACCCTGCGCAGAAATCCTCATCAGTAAAAGGGTGTTCTCCTGCGGGAACATTGTTTCACCCAAAGCCTCCTGTTAGACTCCTCCTCTCAGAAGACAAAAATCTCAAGTTCCCTTAGCTAGTCTCCCCCATATTCTGGGTCCCTCTGTCCTTCCTACGTCATTTATGTTTCTTCTGCCCTTGCTTTTGGCTGCCCACAGCAACTTCATACTTTTTTTCAACTTCCAAAGAAACTTAGGCATTCTAACCTGAAAGGGAAAAGAGTCAGCAGGATGGGATGAGAGAACCGAGGTCCAGGACACTGTCTTGGGCTTTGAACCACAGCAATTGACCTTGAGTGTGGCTTTCAGCCAGAGGACGTACACACACACACACACACACACACACACACACACGTACACAGACACCAGCGGGAGCGGGTGGGGGGGGGCGTTATTCTGGAACCTTCTCCCCAGAAGGTGACGCCCACCTGAACTTTACAACTGAATTGAAACGTCTACCTTACCGTAGGCATTCCACAATGAAACTCATCCAGGGAGCTTTGAGAGTTCCAAAGAAGCGACCCCGCCTCCGCCCCATCCAGAATTCCGATTTGTTCGTGAGAATTTTTAAGTTCCCCTAGCATTCAAAAAAATGCTCCTTTCGGGGCTGACAGAAGAAGAGACCAAAGCTCGAGCATTGGCTCTGAGATGGAAGGACACTTTGGCAGCAAAAACAGACTCAGACACTCTTCTCTCAGAAGGTCTTTCCTGCAGGATGCAGAGCGTAGCTCAGCAGTAGGGTACTAACCTAGCATTTGTGGAGACAGGGATTGGATTCCCAGCACCGCAACATGACAGTGTAAAACGCCCCAGATAGTCATTCCCCTTGGATTGTAGCACTTACTAAGGTGAGCCATCACCACTGAAGCAGCCACCAGCTAACCTGAGACCTTCTACATCAGTGGGAGAGCGCTTTTTTAACCAGCCCAGGGCTTCACTGCAGACCCATGGAACCAGAATCACTGAAGGTCGGGCCAGAACTCTGTTCTGACGGCCATCTAAGAAAGGCTCCTCGCCTCCATCTCCACCTCTATCCCCACGTCTTACTCCAGCACATCCAGGCGAGCAGTCTTGACCAACGACTCTCTTGTTCTCCTGGCTCCTGGCTTTTCATTCTCTTTTCCTGCTAGGCTTCCCTTACCTGGATATCTCCACCTACTTGGACAGAGTTCATTCATAACCCATTTTCTACACATCACCATCACTTCTAAATAGATGTCAGGCTCTTACCCCCCAGAAATTCACCTCACCTGATTTAACTCACCTGTGGTATTGCCCTGAAGTTTTGGGGGTTGTTACTGTTTGTTTGTTTGTTTTGGAAATGGGTTTTGTTTTCTTAAGTCAGGGTCTTCCTATACAGCCAAGGCCTCAAATTCAAGTTCTTCTTGATCTGACCTTCAAAGTACTAGGAAGGTTGTTGGCCCCTCCCCTACTACTTCCAGCTCAGGGAAAAGGATTCCCTAGAGCTCCCTGGATGGCCCTAAGGGTAGCCAAGGTTGGGAAGCAGTGCTTTACACTGGGGGTGTAGCTCGGTGGCACAGTGCTTGCCTACCTAGCATGTACGACAGTGGTTCTCAACCTTCCTAATGCTGCGACCCTTTAATTCCTTATGTCATGGTGACCCAGCCCCAACCATAAAATTACTTCACTGCTACTCCATAACTGCAATTTGCTACTGTTATTGCAATTCATTGTAATATAAATATCTGATATGGGACTCCCCAATGGGTCGTGACCCACAGGTTGAGAACCACTGGTGTGCAGGGTTTGATCCCAGGAACACACACACAAAGGGGAGGGAGAAGGGACTGTTTTAATCCGGGCTCCACTCGGCCCATGCTATGAAAGTGCTCGCTCCCTGTAAAACATGGGATGGTGTTTTATTCTAGCTGCTATGTTAGTTGTCAATCTTCCCCCTTTGCAGCTCTTGTTTTCCCAGCCTCACCAATCACATCTTCTGAGCATCTTTTTCTGGCCCTGCTTCTTCCTCCCAGTTCCTGGAAAACCGTGCCCTGTTTCCTGTAACATCTTTCTTCTTCCCTATGTCCCCTACTCCATCTCTCAGTAGATGCTCACACTCAAATCTGCATTAGTCCTATTCTAGACTTCCACCTGCCAATTCTATACATCTCACTGGGATCTAGGGCCGACCTGAAATCCATTCCTCCTCACCGTACTCCCCTCCATCCCAACTGTCTGGCTCCCGTCAGACCTGGCACAAATTAAAAGCTCAATTCATGTTGTCTGAACCAAATCACATCCCTGAGGGGCATGCAGGTCTGGGCCAGGGCTTTGTGAATGTTCAATACTACAATCAGATACGGTCATTCCCTCCTTTGAAAAAGACTAATGACATTATAAGACTTACTTCTTTCCAGAACGCATGCTGAGCACACTACCCCTGTCTCTTGTTGAAGCCTCAGTGAAGGAGACTGGGATCATTAATCCTATTTCCCAGACAACCAAAGTCAAGCTCAAAGAACAAGTGAGAAGCATTGTACACCGTAGGCCTAGGATTTGATTGCTTCCTAGAACCTAAGAGAAAAATGGATCTTGAACTTCATAGAGAATATCAGGATTAAGGGAATGGCCAGAGGTGCAAAGACAGCTGATTAAAGGTATGGTCAGTTGGGACAGATGTTTAATAAGTATCCTGGGTTGATTGGAACACCTGAATGTGGAAATGGGACTTCTCAAAGTAGAGCTATTATCTGCTAAAAATGCCTTGGTCCCTCCCTCTCCTGGCAGGTACACACTTAGGAATGAGAAACAGCGTTGAACTCTCAGAGCAAGCATTTGTACCTCTCTAGCTGTGTTCTACTACTGTGCCCTGTGCGCATGCAGTTCATATATGTCTCCTGCTTGAAGGGTCTGTAATGGGACCAAACCTGACCTGTGCTTGTCATTGTGCACACCAGGTTCATGGAGACGCACATTGTGTCGGATCTAAAGGAAGTGCTGCTTGTTGAAAGGAAGAAAGAAGGGAGTTGCCAAGCAGGGTGGCTGGGTAGGGGATGATAAGCACGAACCAAGAAGGGGGAAGGGGGTGGTGGAGGCCAACTCTGAAGACTTAAGTGAAATACTTGTAACTCTGAATAAATCCTCAGTGGTAGTTAAGCTCATTTTCTTTTATTCTCTCCCCCACACACAGATTCCTATCTCCTCCCTTCCCTGTTCCATTCAAGCTACACACACATTTGTGGAAAAGTACACAAGTGTACCAGAACTTCCTGTCCCTGTCCTGGCTACAGCTGAGGGACAGGCCAGCAGACACTGGTGACAGAAGCAGAAGGAGCATCGAGAGGAGAAGTATCCAGGTTCCACCTCTGCAGCTATGCTTTGCCTAGCTTCTCTCTCCTCCATGGAGAAGGATCCAGGTTCCGCATCTTTGCAGCGAAGCTCTGCCTAGCTTCTCTCTCCTCCACATGTTCTCCCACTCAGTGACCACTGGCTTATGTCCACACAGAATGGTTCCCCCAATCCCTCCTCATACTTTTGTCTATGAACATGGGTCCTGAAAATGAGAAGATGAATCTTTTAGGCATTTTTAAGGGCGTTTTTAAGTTGTGATCTGTATCAATCAGGGTTGGCTGGGGTTTGCTGAAGTAACAAACTAAGTTCCAAGTCTTGGCTCCTGTGCAAAAACTATACCCCCCCCCATTATTCATTTTATGATGGATTGCATGGGGCTCTGCTCCACACTGTCTCTCCTCTGGGTATATATCTGGAAGATCGTCAGTCTTGTGGCTGAGGAGAAAGGGGTGCAGCAAACGCTACCCCAGCTCTCAATGCCTTCCTGTACATTCATTCACATCTCAGAGTAAGTCACTGGGGATCAAGCCTGGGGTTGTAGGGTGCTTGGCCAGACAGGGCCCTGTTCAGAGGAGCAACCCAGAGCAGACAAAATGTATGTGAACAACAATGTAATCTATTAGACTCCTTTTCCCCGTGTTCCAACCATTATCACTTCCAGAAAAATTGAATTTTATGTTAGGGTTTCTCCTGAGCTCTGGTTTTCCCTTAACCTGTGTAAATGGATGAATACAGTATCTGAATGAAGTGCCACAAAGTTAAAATATAAATTCCCTAAAAATGGAGAAAGAGGGAACAGCTTCACCAGCATGGGAAGACAGGGGAAACATACACTGAAACCTGAGTAAGGAGCTTAACCTCAGTAGAGCAAGCACAACAAGATTGGAAGGGAGGAGGACTGGGGAGGTTAATCCGTGGTTAGGAGCACAAAATGCTCTCCCAGAGGACCCAGGTTCACTCCCTAACATACTCATGGAAGCTCACGACCTTCTGTAACTCCAATTCCAGGGCATCTGATGCCATCATCTGGCCTCTGCGGGCAACAGCCACACACATGATACATAGACACACACACAGATAAAATGCTCGTACACATAAAATTAATAATT